AGAATATTACAAACTTTATTAAATTTTCCTATAATACAATACTAGACATTCAATAATGTAAATTATTATTACTGACCTTCACACACACATTAAGTATTTTGCTGCAAAATAACAAGTACAGTAAAGACTCAAATGTTTTCTCAACTGATTCACTAAATAGTTCTGTATTTTATGGAGAAAGCAAGAACAAAAATACGAACTTTCAATAATTTATCTTATTGGCAAAGGCACCAGCTACTATGTCAAGTCATCTCATAGCATTCTATATTCATAGCAAAACCCCTATCATATACCAGTATGCTCTTGTCTTTAGTGACAAGCTCATGTCACTAAAAAAATACTCAATGGTTACATTCACTCGTCAAGTTACACAGCTAGATTAAACCATGGAATAAATAGCTTTCTTAAAACTAAAATAAAAATTTGTTCTAGAAATAAAATTGATGTTATTTATACATTAAATGCTTCAACTTTATTAACCATAACAGAGGAAATGAAGCTATTACTGGTTTATATTAATTTTACTGAAAACTTGTGAGACCGAATTTATTTTAGGATCCTGGATGTACAATAATTGATTTTGTTAATTATTTGGCCAGATCTTGTGAGGAAGAACCGACACATTCCAGCACCCAACCTTCCACACTAAAACTGATGATGTAGTATCAATTACCACTTGCCAAACTGGCTAAGAAACACTGCATGGCCTACCAATGTCTCCAAAAATCTTGATCATCAAGTGTTTAAATATACAGCAAATTCTTGTGGTGCCAGTAAGGTAAGGTATAGTAATTTACACAAGGAGAAAGTGCTAAGCCCGAATGGATATACTGTACAGCACTTGGAAGGGCTATGAGTGCAGGATAGGGGGAAGGAACAGTGTTTAACCACTTGGACCAATGGGGGGGGGGGGGTTATCAAATACCAACCTGCAAAAAATCAAGGCTATCACTGAACTGAGCAGTCCAAGTGTGGTGCCAGTGGCTAACAGTGTCCTATGAATTACCCCAGCCCTTTCTTTGATGATAACCAAAGAGGGTTTTTCAACGTTTTCAGTGACCATCAGCTACAATCATATAGCCTTCCATCTCTGTATTTGCAACACCCCATATTTTCAGACTTTTAAATTACTCGCATTCCCTTGTAAAGTTTAAGTGCTTTCATTTACATCCTCTCACGTGTTTTGATGATTGCATCAACAGTGTGCATAGCTAAGTGCTGCAACTTTAAAATAATTTTTTTTTAAAAGAATTTCCTATTTTAACCAGTGGCATCAGATTGGTCTGTACTCATCTTGACAGCATTACCAAATTACCACTTTTAGAGCTACGCATAAAAATATAAATTTGAAAATCAAATTATAAGGCGAGATTCTGCAGTTAATAATAATGAAATTAATTCATTAACCATAAATAAAGTAGTTCATGAGCTATAGGCAAGTTAAATTAGCCTATGTGTATGTACCTGATATTAAAAATATATAAATTCTTGTTGCACAAAATTTCTATCAAACTATCATTCAATTTGCAATAAATCATGAGCATGTGTGGCTACAAGAAATAAAAGTAAATAATTCCCTAAATAATTTAAATTCTATTTCTATTCATCACAACAGAAAAATTCAATTGTACAATATCAAAATGCTGCAAGAAGTTAAAACTTCACTGCAATATGACAGCTCACAACAAGCAACAATTGGCTATATATAAATGAAAATTAAATATTCAAATATGGAGCCCTTGCACTCTCATACAACCATGTAGATTTTGTTTATCAGTCCATTGTGACTGACGGAAGTCAACTTCTGTTTCTTCTAAAGAAGCCTTCTTATTCCTACAATTTGGCAGCAACATCCTACAGCTTCCCCAGAGTCTTTCATCTCTGCTTTACACTTACTGGGTACCAATCACATCCTACCTGTGCATCAACGTTTTCGCGCTAGAGTTAAATGCAGACAAGATAGACATTTCAAAATATTCAGTCACAGACCAGGCGCCAGGTTCACGAAGCAGTTACGCAAGCACTTACGAACCTGTACATCTTTTCTCGAACTTTGGAGGCTTTGTTTACAATTATTAAACAGTTAATGAGCTCCAAAGCACCAGGAGGCTGTTTATAACAATAACAACAGTTGATTGGGAAGTTTTCATGCTCGTAAACCGTTTAATAAATGTATCCAAAGCCGTCAAAGATCGAGGAAAGATGTACACGTTCGTAAGTGCTTGCGTAACCGCTTCGTGAATCTGACCCCAGCACTGCAACAATTCATCTCTTTCCTTCACCTAGTAAACTATCAGTTCTTGGTGAAGTTCTTCTTACCTTGCTCTTGGGAGGTCTGCTACCTAAACAATCTTCTTATCCTAGACACGAACTCTGCCAACACAAGGCATCTGTTGCCATTGCATCTGCCCTCACCGACAGCTGCATCCCACATCTGGCTACACACTCATTCACGCTTCTTTCTATCTTCACTAACATTGTCAGAGAATAAAATTGTGGTACTGTGTGCTTTATACTGTACTGTATACCAATTTTTGCATGTATGCATTGTTTAATTTAAAGTAAAGGATATTCAAATAAGGCATTGACAGCATTTATTTGTGGAAGTATTGTATGTGTGTTGACAGCCAGACAAGTATAGTCAACTGACTTAACTTGCTGTCAACACACACACAATGCTTCCACAAATAAATGTTGTCAATGCCTTATTTGAATTTCCTTTATTTTAAATTATATAACAATGCATTCATGCAAAAAAACGTACAACACACACACACACAGAGGAATACCGTGTTCATGTTCAAGCTCATCACTCAAGTTCAGACGATCATCAGCTGAACAACAATCAAGTCATCTATTTTAACAATAAGAATTTGGTATTTAATATTTGTTAACGTACTGTAACATTTTTAGTAAATGTTCATATTATGGAGAATTAGTCAGGCACAACTGGGAGGAAGAGCAACACATACCGAAAAGCAGGACAACATTTCCAGAAAATAATGACATTTTGGAAATGGAATACCTTGAGTAAGTAGGTGAATTGCAGCATGCATGTTCTGTACACAATAAAGAACAATATATCATCATCAATCACATATGGAATGATGATTTTTGTTATGGCTTAAATTTATATTACAAAGAGATTCAACCTATATAGAAAATGAACCATTTGTTTACTGATTACATAATACTGATGGAGGGTCAAGCTCATTCTAGTCTAATTAAAGATACAGGTAACAATGCATGGTTTGGCCGCTATCTATCTGAACACATCAACTATTTGTTTTTCCATCCAATCCACCTCCTGTCATCGAATGGTGAGGTGAGAGAAAGTATCACTCAGCCTTTCACAGCCAAGCAATCCAAGGCACCACCACACAACACCAACCCAGATTTGTTTGTGTAAGTGGACACTGAAGGATGATTTTTGCTCATATTCCATATTAGTCAAAATACTGAATATCCTGCCACCATGTGCTTAAAATATAGTAAACTTATCAAAGCACATTTATACTGGCAGCAAACAAGAGAAAGCATTCTCCGATAAACTTCAGGAAAAAACAAAAATAAGAAAAGTGGAGAGTGGAATTCCTAAGTCTCAAGACTTTTTTAAAAGCCAGACCCAAGATCTTTGAGTTTTATGCTCACAGCGTGAGAGAAACTAATGCAACAGAGAAAATCAGTTATGATAAAGTAAATATTGTTGATGCAATGAATGGTACAGCCACAGGCAGCAAACAAAAATTGTGCCAGGATGGTAGCTCATGAAAAAGGCACAGGATTTCTATATGAAAACTGACAATACTATGCAGTGTATAGTGAAGAGTGGTTAAGGTACTGTATGTCTCTCCATGGAATTAAGCATGCAAGACAATGTAAGATGCGGGAGTCAAGACAAATTTCATCTTGGCCTAACTCCTCTGTAGAAACCTCAGTGACCAGTCCACCTACATCAACGAATTACCTACCCCAAAAACACCTAGACATCATTCCAACATCACATACTCTATAGAGCAACATCTCAACTGTTGGGGAGTACCTTAATAATAATGCATTATCATTCTACTATATTTTTGGACATGCTGCAATGACTATTTTGTAAGGGCAGAAAAGTTTAATCTTTAGTTTGCCAAGAATGCCTTTTTTGACCACTGTTGGCCCTGAGGTGGTCAGATTGTAAACTGGTGCTTGTAAATCATAAAAAAACTAGCATACATATCCCACCATAGCTGGGGAATGAGAGGATAGTGAAAACATAAAATTACCTAAACATCACAAACATTTTCCACATGGGAAAACTAATTGGTGGGCCAAACCGGAGGCAAGTAGTGCTGCATCATGCACCTCAAGCATCATATCACCTTGCTGGCTTCCCTCCGTTGCAACAGAATGAATATTCTATAAATGTTTTGGGGAATTTACCATACCCGTCCTGAGCAAAATATAATTTAAAGCAACAGCTTATCTTCATATGGTATATTTCTTCACAGTACAATTCTTGTGCACGTGCATGTGTGTGAATATATTTTGTACACACACACGTGCATAAATACACTTTAGGCTTGTATCGAGGTTCCCCCCCCCCTTTCCCAAGGTTGAACTACAGTACTGTACTGCATTGTTCTTCCCCTGGATGCAACCCCCACAACAGTTACTTTACGCCCAGGTACCCATTAACTGTTAAGTGAACAGCGCGATTGGGTGAAAGGAAACGTGTCCTTTCATTTCAGTCCCTTTCATGATTTGAACCTAGGAATCCTGAATGAGTCGATTGTGAGAGCACAAGAACATCAAGAGATGCAACCTCTACTCTCCACTTCTACACAAATTCCTCTTTGGTCAATTATGGATCCAGTTATTAAAACTAATTAAACAGTTATTAAAACTGCACTTCAAGACTTCATTTGCTCTGAAATCCTCACACACTTAGAGTTTCCTATTCTCCATCAAAATTCTGTCTGTCCAAATTAACTTTTACTGTAACAATTTTCATTTAAGTGTGCAAAAAATTTTCAGCTTATCTGCATATTAATTCTTTTATAACTTTTTGCCTGAGGAAATACATCTTATTATTTTTACATTCTAATTTCATACCTTTTCCTAATATTGATACAGTGATCATTATGCCATCCATATATACATTAAAACACAATGGATACATTATGATACACAACCCTGACATTTTCCCCATATATAAAACCAATCACTCATAACACTATCAATTCTTACACGTTACTGCATCAAAGTTCTTCATACCATTAATAACTTCCAAGTGTGAAACTTAATGTGAATGCATAATTTATATAAAAATCTCTAAGCAATTCAAATATGCTTGGAAATATGTCAGCTGTAAACTACAACCCATCAGGAAATAAAAGCACCAAATTGGTTAGTTATGAAACATAAAAACCTAAGGAACTTAAAATGGCAATGGATAAGAAATACAACCACAATAATAAATGAACACAGGACCAAAACAACCCATTAAAAGATTACACACTGTAGACAAAGTGCAACTTTGCAGACATCAAACAGGCAGGAAATATTGAGGGTGCAGTGTTGAGAAAAGCATGCACAACTAAACACACACAACCCAAAGACTTCTTTATAAATGAAAATGCTCTGTGCATGTTTATATTTCAAGTGTGTGCAGCATCTCACTTTTGAGTGATAATTTCCTTTTATGCCTCTAATTAGGTTATCAGTTTAAGAGCCAATTGTTATGACATTTTCTGGCTTTCTGGTTAAATGACACCCATTTAAGTATTTGCTACATCTGAAGCTCTTTCTTTACAGCTGCTTTTGTTGTTGTACAGTAAGCACAAACTATCAACAATCCATTTTATATTATACACACTTCAAAAATTTAAAACAAAATAATTTACTGCAGGTTTAATTTTAGGTTAGGATAAGATAAAACAGGCATTCAAGATTCTGCCAAATACCTTTGATTAACAGTGTCTGCCAGTTTAAACCTGAAAATATTGAAGCCTTAATACTTAGGTGGTAAAGAGATTTTCATTGGGTGCTGAAGTTGGGATATTTTCTTGGTCCAAGCCTGCTGAAGGGTTAGTCTGGGGAGCTTGATCAATATCTTCATATGGGCTGCGTCGGGGACCACCTGAAATCAGAACAATTGTAATGGCGAACAGAATACTAAACATGGGATATAATATAATAACAAAACTGCACTATAAACCTAACCTATACTGAGAGCACTAGATGTAGAGAGAGAGAGAGCATGTGCTAGGTGGAGAGAGAGAGTGCACTAGTAGAGAGCTAGATACAGAGCTAGATAGTAATATATGGAGATAGACAGAAATAGATAAATATAGAGGAGAGAGAGCAGACAGACAGACTCTGGCAACACCGAGTACCCCCACCCCTAGTATACTATAAATAACATACAGTGCTCTGCTATTCACTAATCTATCATTAACAGCAATGCGATATACTAACCAAAGATACCCTCTAAACCTGAAGGTAAACCAAAATTCCCGTATGTTCCAGCTCTATCTTGTACTATTCGATAGAGCATAAAGCTGGTCAATGGACGTAGCAGTAAGTTGAAGACGGCCATAGCTGCTCCAAAACGTTTCATGCCAGCTGAAACAATGTAAACTACATTAATCATTCTGGGTAATCCATCATTTTTATTATGTTCAAGATATTTCACAACTTAAAAGTTAGAAAATTAACTTACTATTATCAATGAAAAACTGATTAAAATAAAGCTTAGTAATCTGCTTAACATAATCAAAATAAAGTGCTATGTTGAAATGCCCCCTTTCTGGTGGTCCTTATAGTAGTTCTACAGTTTGTGTGCTGATAATGCTTAGACTTAAGAGTGTACCTGGACCTTTAAGACCCATTCTAACCTACCGGGAATCAGAATCTAGTTTTTCTATGAAGTGAGGGGAGCTTGGGGGTTCAGAGATCGACCCAAAAGTGAGGAAAATGACCATGAAGTCCGCGGAAAATAAACAACTGTTTGAAAGATTAAATGAGGAAAGCAATGCATTTAATAGTTGGTAATGGGTGAAAAACCCTAACCTCAACTAACCCATCTGCCACAAGATGGCAGCCTAGACCACCTGGGATCGTAACCTGCCACTCACCCTCATCACTTGCCTGGTACCAGTACTTTAAGTCTCTAACACACTGATGAGACCTACTTGCTACTGTTTTAACCAGTGGAGTGATGTTGGTTTCCCCCAGAATGATTGTTCCTAGCAGGATCATTTTTTTTTATGATTCACAATCGTGTTTATGCCTCTGCAAACGATAAGTCACAATAATGTGGCTGAAGAAATGATGATCAAACTACAACTCGGAAGATGAAGAAGCAATGCCACTTCGTTCTGCTCTGGACCATTATAAAGTCGTGACCTTATAATGATCTAGGGCGAACCGAAACGTCGTCGCTTCTCCATCTTCCAAGTTGTGTTTATGCCTCTTACATTGAGTGCATCCTAGCTGTTATTTTGCACCAAGTTTAGTCCAAGGTTCTTTTTCATAGGGGTTCATGTTCTTAGTCTTTGAACATGAGTTGCCCAATTTGCAGGTACGGTTCATGAGATTATCACCACTGGGAGGCATGTCCCTTAAAATGCAGTTACACTGTATTTTCATATGTTTGCCCGAGGAGCCACTATCTCTCTCATAGCCTTGATGAGGACAGGAAGCCAGTGGCCCATTTATCCCAATGATTTTATCAAGCTGGATTTTGAAGGTCAGCAGTGTTTTAGCATTTACATCTTTGGCGGGTAGGCAGTTCCAAGGGTTAATAGATAGGGTAATGCAGTTATTATTCATCGATTTAAACTTACTGTGTGTTCATACGAATAGTGCTAATCTGGATATAATATGGATGTAGTGGAGTTTACCTTAACACATGCAAAAAACCTGCTATCATTTCACAATTGTAAATGCAGATATCATCACTAGTGTTAATATGTCAAAATGGTAATCATGGTATAAAATTCCCGTAGATTATAATTACAGGACATGATACGTATACCAATTATGTTCATATGGTCTTCACAACTATGTAGTTGTAATGAAGTACTGTATACCAGATCACCCAATCATCATCTGAACATACTACTAAAGCAAGTTCAGAGGTCTATTGGCACATGAGGCAGCTCCTATTTTTGCTGTTCATAGAAATAGCAGCTGCATCGTATGGATCAACAGCCCTATACATGAATGAGTTTAGGATGTGAAGAGGAGGCAACTCCTATTTATATCATTCACATAAGTAATTAATTAATGAATTTCATCAGTTACAGATAGCCTGAGCACGTACTGTATACATTAGGCTTATATCGAGTTCACCCCCCCCCCCCCAGGTCTAGTTACTGACCCTCCCCAGGATACAACTCCACAACAATTGACTAACTTCCAGGTCTTCTAGGTACCCATTTATTACTTGGTGAACGAAAGTGATACTGGAGCAAACATGCCATGAGAAACAGTAAGAAACAGTGAGAAACTTACTCATGGTGTGGCTCCAATAGTACGAAAGGTTCACTATATCAAACATTATGGCCAAAAGATTTGTGCACAAAGCCTAGAAGGAAAAAATATATTATTAAACTCTCAAAATTATCAGGCAATTAAATTATTTATGATAGTCAAGCATCCAAAATTTAAAAATCTTAAGCCTAAAAATACCTAGACTTCAAAGGGATTACAAATATTACATTTTAATAAGAAGTGTACCAATGTATTAGTACTGGTATCACTGTATTTTTGCAACATTGGTAAAATTTTAGCTAATACTTTGTGCTTATTTTGTACAGGTGGGTAGAGGAGATGATGACTTAGCTCCTGTTAGCAGACTTGGAGATTTCCCTCCCACAGCTTATCTCAATCCTTGCCCTACTCCTTTTTCCCATTGACACTGCCAATTGGCTTACAATCAGGTCCCCAATTACTGCTGGTTGAACATGGGAGCATGGGGTTTACAGTTAAGGATTTTTTACTAATTATCTTGCCTTTCCTAGAGGGAGGAGCTTTGAGATAAGACTAGATTAATTAAAGCTCATCACCTGGAAATATGCGAGTTTTTGGAGACAGGATTACAACCTATAAATTTCTCAGGAAAACTGACAGGAGAGACCTGCACAAACTGTACTTGTGCCCTAGGAGTTCAGGTATGTGGATTTGATCCCATTGTAAACCTTAAATTTCTCATATACTGTACAGTATATCACAATGTGATTTCATTATGCAAGAATAGATTATGTATTTGCAATATTCTGTGGGTGATACACAAACAAGGGAACTCAAATGGAAACCAAGTATCTAATGAGTCACAGAAACATTAGATATACCAAGTTTGACCGTATATAATTCATATTTTGGAATTGAAGCTTAACACTGAAGAGAAACAAAATTTAAAGTGAAATAACAAAACAAGTACTGTACATATTACTGACCATGAATGGAGCTTCCTCTGATTCTCTCTGGTGCAGACTCCATATGATTGTTAGGAGGAATATTGCATTGTAAAGAACAAAACTCTCTGGTAGACTCCCACAAAAGTTGCTCCTAAAAAGAAAGATATAGTAACTTCCTTATTGCTATAAGATTTCAAACAGTTTTAATAAAGTTAAAAAAAAAGAAGCGCTGAATGTTGTGAAAAAAACATTTTTGTTGGGGTCCCAGTGGCTCACCGAGCTTTACTCTGGTACCACCAAGACTTAGCCCAACACACCAGGCCTCTGCCAGAACTATCCATCATCTATTGGGAGCCAGGACCAGAATCTCGCTCACTATGGTGCAAGGGGATTAGGAAATTAAAGATCAGTCACAAAACTGGGAAAATCCACCAGAATTTATAGGTACAATGAAACAAGTGACTGTTTTAGAAAATGAGGCTCCCTTTGATAAACAAGGTCACTGGTCATTGCTGTGGGGTAAACTCACTGTGACAAACACCAGACAGCAATGAAGGTTACCCGAGTTCTCCGTTCATCCTCACTCTTAGAGTTGATTGTATAAAACCCAATAACTCCATAAGGAAGAAGGGAAAAGGGCAGGGACAAGGAGCCATCTGGTGGCTGTCATGTGCAATACAGTCAAGGCATTTAACCTGCAGTAATGATCATTTGCCTTACTTAATTGGTTTACTCATTTTCCAGTAAGCAGTTGCTTATTTTGTTGTATCTAAGATCTGATGGGTTCTCCCCAGACTTGGAGTTGATCACTGAACCCCTGCTACTCACAGAGTAAGCCAGATTCTGTGTCCTGTCTGCTAGTAGATGACAAATCTCAGAGGCCTGGTGTGATGGGCTAAGGTGTGGTGGAACTAGAGTTAAGCTCAGAGAACCACTGACAGAGATCCCTCAAAGAAAATATCTATAGAAAATGCTGAATATTTTACTGATAAGCTTCGTTGATGCAAAATAAAGTTACAAAAACTAAAATGAATAACAAATTTTAATTTTATATACAGTAGTTGACATTTATTGTCAACTTTATGTATGTTAATTAACTTGGATCCTTGTGTTCATGGTACCCGGCACAAATTACTGCATGCAAGTATACCTGGCAGACATTCCAGGTACTATATTAAGCACTGTCAATAGCCAGACACCAAACCTCAAATACCAGCAACAAGAGTGAATGTATGGTGCTATAAGTAGCATAGGGTCTTGTAATGTGACTTAAGTGCACATCTGGCCAAGGTGCAAGGCACCATCTCTAGCACAAGTCAAAACTGAGTGCACCACACACTATCTGCTGATTCTTCATCACCGAGCCTCACATTCGCAACCAAGCACATCCCTGAACAGGAAACTCAAAAAGAAAAGACCCAGAGGAGGAACCTGAACATCTCAGAGAAGGGAACTCTGATCAAATCTTTCTGAATTCTAGAGATGCATTTCAATTAACACATGCAAGGAAATCTTCTATTAATTTGCCTTCGCAAGGTCTATCGTTTGCTTAAATAGCAGCAGGACTTTGTCGTATTTTCAGCTAAACAAAATAGTGTTGGGAAGGCGATTTTCAGTGGACGCTACTACAAAAAGCAACAAAACTCTTAGGCAAAATGGTTGTCGTGGTACACGTAGCCTGTTGCCAAGCTAAGGGCCAGTTTTGACCAAAAATTAGCAGTTTGAACAATCCTGTTTTCTGAATTTCCCTTTAGAAAGAGATATGACTGACCCAACAGCTCTCATAGATATACAGTACACATTTACTTAAAACTAAGCACTGACTGTACCAAAAAGCAAATTCTAAATACTGCACAGTATTTACCAATCATTAAATTCCATCATGCAGAACTGGGATCATCATGTAAGTAACAAGACAAAAATATATATTCCATTAATATAGCATTATGCTTTGTCCCATAATCTTAAAACACACTCGCACACAAAAATACACAAACGAATTACACACTGAAGGCTGCAAAACAAAACTTGCTATATTTACATCACATAAAATCAGGGCCAACAATACAGTGCATAAATCAAGCTAGCCAATGCAAATACTGAACTGGTTGTATCATTACCACACTGTGAGTATCAGGTGTGCGAAGAATATTCCCTGTGAATATAAAGAAAATTAGACACAGTACTGTAATATAGAAACTAGTGTTTATTTAATTCAATTATAATAATTAATTAATAATAATTAATTAATAATAATTAATTTGTAAATTAATTGTTTAATATATAGTATATCTAAATACAGACAAAATATAAAAAAGTTTAACAATTTAGATCCCTCAAAGTGTTTCAGAAAAATCTATGATTGCAAGACAACTGTATAGTCATCTTAAGTGAAAACATTGAGAATACAAGAAGTGTACAGTACAGATCAAAATGTTGCAATATAGTATTATGAGTAAACTTGGAATTGGCACTTAGTAGTAGTACAGTATTACTATAATTAATATTAAATGTATTGTTAGTACGTACTGTAGTTGTAATTAGTAGTACAGTACAGTATTATTACTATACATGTAGAGCATTCTTTTAACAGTCAAACACTGGGTGACAAAGGCAGTAAGACACAAGGAAGAAAGAAGATGCTAAGCCAGAAAGACTATGTAGAAGACTGACAGCACATTAGAGTAACATTAATGGATAAGCAAACTTGTATTATAAGTAAATTACAATTTTTTTTTTTTTACAATTTTATGCATAACACTAATTTTAACAACACACATTCTTACCGATATCAAATTGAAATGCAGACATACTCTTTAAGGTGAGGATTTAGTGTTCATCTGGAAGAAATAATCTTAAGGAACCTTGTGCATGAAGCAGCGAATGTGTGTAGAGAGAGTGGACAAACCTTTCCACATACCATATAGAATTTGTACTGTATAATAATCATGTTGAACAACTGACCTATCCCAGGATGCAACCCACAATAGTTACCCAGTTCTTGGCTACCTATTTACTGCTAGGTGAACCGAGGTATTTGGCGAAAGGAAACATCCCTGACAATTTGTCCCACTCGGGAATTGAATCCGGGTTTCCCGATTGTTAGTCGAGAACAAAGTCGAGAAATATTTGTCATGTCAGTTACCCTGCAAATAATACATTCCCTGTAATTCCTCATTCCTTGCAATCCCTAAAAAAATTGTCTTTCTACCCTCTTTCCTATAGTTGTCACAAACTATCAACCCTCCTACTATGGCATTGGCACTCAATGTCTTTTCCTATTACTGAACTATTAATGTACATATAACCAATTTATCTTAAATCACAGCGAATGAATTCCTTGAAATGCATTAACTGGGTGCGAGTGATAGCATTTATATAACCCCAAGTCTTCTGTAGTGGATATATTTTTGCTACAAATATAAATCGGTAATTTTGTTACAAGTATTAAGTGTTAGTCTCTATGACAGCTGCGGACCAACATGAAACGTCACCAAATGAACTAGCATGACTACTGACTCATTCTACCTCATTACAACACATGTCAGCACTTGTCATTAACTCCAGACTGGTGTATTACGGCAGCTACGTGAACCACCAGGCTTGACGTGGCAGCTGCCGTAGTATATATATACCTTTAAGGCGATAGAAGCATGAGGAATGTTGATAACCATGATGCCACCTGTGTGTGTGTGTATCGATCACTGACAGCCAGAGGCAGTGGTTGAGGGCGTCGCTTACACTCCCACGCTCAACACTCTTCCCTTATACTCTCCAGTATACCTCGCTTCTCCTTGGGGTATACATTTGCCAGTTTACTTGAATTCTCGAGGACTATGTTTAAGAGTAAAAGTATATACTGACAATGTATACACAAGGAGAAGCGAGGTATACTCTTCCCTTACACTAGAGTATACCTCGCTTCTCCTTGGGGTATACGTTGCCAGTTTAGTTTAATTCTGGACTATGTTCAAGAGTAAAGTATACTTGCTAGTTGGTCTGTGAGCTAGTGTCATGGCCTTAATTACCCTGTGTAATTTTTAGGCCTTAAGTCTAACATTATACCATCCAACTGCTCGCTGTCAAAACCACACTACTTCAATTATTTTTTTATTTTTTATTGTAATTATATAAGGCTGACAATAGCAATCATTCGCACTCAAAGGGTAGAAGGAAGGAAAGAAATTAAGGAGAAAACACCAAGTCATTACGACTATATAGCTCAAAGGATAGAAGGGAATAGTATAATGAATATGTTTAGAACCGAGAATTATATGTCCAGACAACATAAAACAAGTGTGACATTGTAGTTGCCATAATAATAGGCTGGGATATCTTCTTTTTCTCAAAGACAGGCTGCCTATGTATGTATTTACCTAGCTGTGCTTGCGGGGGTCGAGCACTGCTGGATCTTTGAGGCTGTCTCTCAACTGTCACTCAAACATACAGAGGAAACAGCCCATAGCGCTGTCTAACTCCCAGGTACCTATTTTGTTTTAGAGCATTAGCACACTGCTGTGTAAAGCACTCCTCGCCAAAAATCCCTCTCTCCTCTCTGGTGCCATTCCTGGGCCCCACTTCCCAGCGGTGAGCATTGATTGATGAAGATTAAGCCACCGAAGAGGTGGCACGGGCATGAATAGCCCGTAAAGCGGTGAGCAAGGGAGGACTTCGCTGGATCCCCCCCCCCCCCCCATCATGTTGCAACCCAATCCTCACAACTTTATTATGTTCAATTCATATATGCTTGCCACGACTTCTTTTAATTTGGATCTTTGTACGCATGTATAAGATAAAATGTTTATTCAGATATTTTGTATATTTATTGAAAATGAGTACAAACATAATATTGGCTTTATAGATAGAGTTAGTACATGCACTGTCTGAAGCCAATAATACGCAAATATAAAGCTTTTCGTATTTCATATTTTCAAATATAAAGCTTTTGGGTAAAGCATATAAACTTTCATCATGCAAACTCTTACGATGTTCTGTATGCATGTAGCTTGTCTCTCCATTTACACATGTAATAAGTTAGACACTTATGTAAGTGATTAATTATAGGTAATTAGTAATGTTAAATATTTAGGATTACTTATGCATATGCATTCTTCGTTATTATTGTTAGGGGCACAATTTATAATTTTGGGATGAATTCTCTAAACTTGTATACTTTATTTATGTACTCTTATGTTCAGGTGCATGAGCCCCTACTTACGTAGAATAGGTATACAAGAATAGGTAATAAGGATGAATAAGGTCACTTACCATGTATCCCTGCACATGCACACTATAGCTATAGCCTGCAACTCGCAGTTGCAAATTCTAACAACTGCAGTTGCAACTTTCTAGCAGTCAGGAAGCTGCAATAAATTCCAACAGCTTCAGTTGCAAATAAATAGTAACGGCATTTTAAAAAATTATATGCAAATTGCAGTTGCAAATATTTTATTTAAATTAATAAAATTTCTATCACCTATATTTGCTTGGTCACCCTCTCGCATAAAAATAATTACGATTACTGAAACGTTTAGTCCTAGTTCTGCTAAAGACAGGTTTACACACCCTAAATGTAGACCAATGGCACTTCAGTTTGTTTATATTCTAATTTTTAACCAGATTAGAAATAAATCTTTATAATACTGTATTAAGAAACACTAGTTGTCCATCCCCCGCCGCCAAGATGATCCCCGTGTTCTTACTCACGTTAACGTCTCTAAGTAGGTGGCCGTTTACGGGCTATTCATGCCCGTGCCACCTCTTGGGTGGCTTAATCTTCATCAGTGATCATCGGTGGGCCGAGCGCCGGCCCTGCATGTTGATAAGCTCGGTAACCGGAGGGGGTCTGAGGTCACACCTTCTTGATGGTAAGTGCAGTTTGTATGAAGGGTTTATATCCTCCCGGTGACTGCACGAGTACCAATGTTAGGAGACGCGTTAATGTTGAGAATGACAAGGTTTCATAAGTGTTGTGTTGTGCTGTTGATAGAGGAACGGCGACTACAGGGACGCGCGTGTTAGAGGGCAACTTGCCGCACTGTAGAGCAGGATGTGTTTATGGTGTCAGTTGAGGCATGGTGCTTGTGCGGCGAGGCAGTTCAAATCAATCAAATGTTTATTCCGGTAAACGTACATACATACAAGATAAGTTACAAACATAATGTTGGATTTCTAGATAGTACATGCAATGCCCAAAGCCACTAATAAGCACTGCTTTTCGGGCAAGGAGTGGGAAAAAAAATACTTAGACTAAAACTTACTACTAATTGAGATCAAAGCCTAAATTGAGTTGAGTTAGTTTAGTTCATTTATTATGCACCCCATACCCATCTTGTGGGCGGTAGTGGAAAGGGTTACAGAGGCACATAATGGGCTCAGGGACTGAACCCTACAATTCATTTAGCTAAGCAAGTTACAATCTTGATGAGCTAGTTACAAAATTCAATATAAGTCGCCACATCAACAATGGGTTCGAGATCGACCTCAAGTACAGGTTCTAAATTAAGCAACTGACATATGTGGAGAGCTAGTGTCAAAATTTACATGTTTGTCCTGCACAGCGCCCCTCATCCAGTGGGCAGCGGTGGATAGATTACAATCACTTAGCTACTACCTACAGTTAGCAAACTAAGGATATTAAGCTACAATTTCTGGTAACAGATCATTTTGAATGAAATATTTACACATCTTTGTTATATAATTACATTTGTCATAGAATTGTTTCTCAAGTCACGTACCTTTTCGCACTCCATCACATAGTGACGGAGGGTGTGCGAATAATTTTGTTGACACAGTTTACATTTGGTCAGGTCTACATCAGCAGATAATGAGAATTCTGAGAGATACTTGTAACTTGAGTCTAAGCTGAGCAGTAGTAACATCTAGAAATCTGCTGATTTTATTGGATGAACCATAGATGTGTGGCTCCTCTTGCATGATAGTATGATGATAGATGGAATTACTGGTGTCGATTTCACTTTGCCTCAGATCTACAAGATTTTGTTCAAGTTCTCGGTGTACTGCTGCTCTCAGCCTGCTTATTGACAATCCTAAGTTATACTCAATTTCTCCTTTAAAGGCAGATTCTTTGGCTAACTCATCAGCTCTATCATGCATTCGGAGGCCAACATGAGATGGAGACCACATGAAATGGACTCTATTACCATCATTAATAATTTTGTTGTATTTGTGTCTAGCTTCGGACACGAGCATGTTACAGTTATGTCTTAAAGAGTTGAGAGCAATTAAGGATGATAAAGAATCACTTACAATTAATGTATCAAGTTTGGAGACTTGTACACATTTCAATGTAAGAAGCAAGGCAAATAGTTCGGTGTGAAGGGTAGAGGCCCAGTTGTTTATACGGACTCCCCACTCAAAATATAAGCCGGGTTAAGAAAACAGAAAGTAGGTCCAACATTTCACTTTTATTTCGCCCTTGTTATTGGCTACATACAGTACACACACACACGCTCGGGACGAAACTACGACATACAGAGGGAGACACCCTACATCACATCAACTCAACTCTTGTCAACTTTTCAATTATTTCGAGTTGTTAATTTCCCGAATGTGATAAGGGATGTCTGCTGAAAGGGGGGGAATGGAAGTTGATACAGAGAACGTGGTCCGGCGACAGCCTGTTTTAGGGTAAACTATGCATTCTTTTTTTACTTTTGTTAATGAATTCATTATTTACAATAAATTCATTGATACTAGATACAATAAACAATGTAAGTTTGTTATACATAAATTTAAATAGTAGTTATATGCAATTTGATGCAGTTACTTTAATATATACTTCTTTACAATGTGTATGCCACGATAATGTGTAAAATTGCATTTACACGAAAAGGAAAATGTCGAAAGATTTTTTTACATTCATGTTTTGTCGTTTCAGACACTATACACTTGGTGTTACAAAATCTTCTCGATTACCGAGAGAATACCCGCCGAAGAAAATAAAAAATGTCAATACTACAACAACCTGCAAACGCTGAACACGGGAGAATATTGTGGTAACATCCATTGATAGTCACGATACATTCTGGTTGTGAAGAAGACACTTTGAACTATATACATCTTCATACTCTAGAATATCCTTAACCCTAATGACTAGACATTGCACTCATCCGACCCAACCACCTGGAGAGACATATGTCTGTCTTGCTGCGAGGACATCTCGCTTCGGTTACTGCTGCTTCAGTATTAATTACAATTTATTTGTGAATAGATACTATTGCCTCAATAAGACTCAGAGTTGAGAGTACCCACAGCAAACAGACACAAAGTTGTCTCCCAGATAACGTAAAAATAACGCCTGAGAGCAAATTAACGAAAATGACCTCATTGCGAGAATGAGAATGTTTGACTTTTGTGTGGTAGTTTCTACCACCTGGCACACAGGGTATAAACCCCGTGAACCACAACACTCTTATGTACACGATAACACTATAATGTTTGGTTCACTTCTTCAGATTATCACTAGCAAGGATTTCTTTCGCTGTGTGCAAGGTGCTCCAAAATCCTTCCCTGTTCACTGAGGTAACTGACCAAGCTACTTACAATATCATACAATAAGCTTCGTTCTCGGAGCGGACATCACTCTCATTCGTTAACAGGTTTTGTGTTATATTGCATGAGCCACACATCACGTAGACACACACTTCAGACAATCTCAAACACGCTTCTTGTGAAGAAATGGAATTCAGTATACAGCGAGAAGGTTGCTTTACGTACTTACAGTAACTAACAACTTCATGGTTTCCCACGAAGATATCAGGTGCCAGCACTTACTCAGGTCACAGCTTAACTACAGAGCCTACAACAGCGTCTTGAGTAGGGCAGGCTTATTTTTTTTTAAATAATATTTAAGCTGGAATCCCAGTAAATACTAACACCCGAAAATAACTCCTACTTCTTTGGTATGTTGCTGCAATACGTCATTCTGGGACTCCAAGACCACCAGAAGTTTAAACGTCAAACAAATCAACAAAACACATAAGTTATCTAACACTAGAAATTTTCTTAGTATTTACACCAACAGCAGCAAAATATGTGAGCACGTGCACCGTCAATACAGACTTTGTTATCCGTGTTTACAGACAGCCCGAGACAACACCTATTACGGGTCTCAATTAGCCTGCTTCCTTTGAGAGAATACACCTCACTACGATCGGCATATTTTATTAGCTGGACTTTGATTATATAATATTAATTTAGTTTCCGTGAAGGTGGTGGTGTATACTCTCACAAGTTAGCGAATCTATATTGGCCCCCAAAACCATGTTGCGCTCGACACTACGATGAGGTGTTTTGTGTAGGCTAGTACGTGATGAAGCCTTAGAGACAGAAAAACGAGGGGTTTTGTGCAAGGCTAGTGATGAAGCCTTAGAGAGACACGGAGAATATATGTGTTTTGTGTAGGCTTGTGATGAAAGGTAGAGAAAGAGAGATACAGTGCAGCATTCTGGAATAGGGTAGTGATGCAGTGTGTGTGTGTGTGTGTGTGTGTGTGTGTGTGTGTGTGTGTGTGTGTGTGTGTGTGTGTGTGTGTGTGTGTGTGTGTGTGTGTGTGTGTGTGTGTGTGTGTGTGTGTGTGTGTGTGTGTGTGTGTGTGTGTGTGTGTGTGTGTGTGCGTGTGTGAGGAGGGGGGAGGGATATATCATTGAGAGAGGGAGAGAAGAGAAAGACAGAGAGAGAAAACAAGTGTTGGTGACTTGTTAATCTCAAAGAAGATTAAGATATGTTGTGTATTACATAAATATAGCAGTAGAGAATAAGATGATTATATGAACTGTAATACATGAGAGCTATAGAGTAAGTAGAGGGGACAAAGAGACCTAAGATTGGAAGAGTGACAAGAGAGATGCAGAGTGATGCAGGGCTTGTCTATAAGCAGAGTAGGATAGGTCATAGAAGTGGGGAAGCTTTACCAAGTTTAGGCACAACAAACTTTATTAACATTATCGAGGATGGTTAAATTTATACAATAAAAATCAATCTAAAAAAATAAAAACCACGATCACAAATGTTTTGGAAATATATTAACATTTAATTATTTTATGATAGTCTCTATATAACAAACAACACTAGGAATAAGAACAAAGGTTGTTTTAGAAGATTATGCATACTTTATTACCTTGAAGAACATGCAAGAAAAGAAAGTAGGATGCAAGATAAATAGGCCGAATTAGATTAATAAAATATTTTTTTTAACGGGAGAGAGAGTAGGGAGGGGGGAGTGTTGCTTAGGTCGACGCGACGGTCGGCTTAAGCACAACTGACATGGATCTCAGTGTGGTAAGCACTTTCCGCTAATTTACATTTCGTGGTATTTTTATTTACTGGGCACAGGTCCAGAAGATTCAAATAGTCAACAGGAAATTTACTGCATGCGATAAATAGTCAATTTATTTAGTGTAACAACTAGATTTGAATGTTTGTATAACCTCTTTATCAATGAATTATATATCATATAAGCAATCATCGATAACAGGGTCAGTTATGAAATAAGATATGTGTTCTGCACGCGTTTCAACCTACTTCAAAATATACAATAATCAAGGTAACTAGACCACTTAGTTTGTGACTCAAGCAATGAGCAGTGAACCATATTCAGAAAAAGTCCTCAAGGAACCTCCCCACAAAAAAACCTATCACAGTTCTGGGTATTATTTAGACAGGCAGATAAGATAACACATCATGACATGTTTCTTTTTTTAATCTCATTGAGTACTCTTTCAGAATAATTTTTTTTTTAATATAATCTTCATAGAGACAACAACTACAAGGAACTTTTCCACTGTGGCATGAGACGAAGAGTCAAGCCCTCCATCGTAAGAATATCGATGCGCTAGCTCACAGAATACACTACACGGAATTAGTTACTTCACCTTAGTTATCGTTACGATAGCTGAGCAATATTTCAGCTCGATTTATAGTCTTCAAAACAGTTCGCTTTTGGCACAAAAATAATAATACGAAGTTAGGCACTACGAGATATTTTTCTCTGTTTTGTTGCCAAAAGAATTTCATATAATATACATGTGCAATTACATCAGAATAGGCAATATCGCATAATGTGTTTAAACTAGCACTTCCTACTCAGTTTAAACGTAATGTTTAATACGAGCACCACACAAGAACATGCATTTTGCTTCTCAAGATCGTGTACGGTGTCTTGGTGAACGCCTCAGTCACCAGTAAACGCTTAAATGCGTCTTACAACACTTTTTATTTAAAACCCTGTTATGCTGGAGCAGCTCTAGCCAAGGAGGCAGAGGTAGCCATTAAGTTGTGAGTTAGGTAGGCCTGAGCAGGCGGAGGTTAAGAGGAGTCTTCACTACTAGAGTCTTTAGTTGCCTGTTGCTGCTGTTGCTGCTGTTCCTGCTGCTTGCGTGCAGCCTCTTCTTTCTGCTGTAGCTCTGGATCTTTCATGGTTGCAGCGATGTAGTCAGCTGGGCCAGATCCCGAGGAGAACTCCATCTCAATACGATACTCATGTCGCGACAAGTACCTCACATACTTCTCAGGCGGTTCCTCGCTCGTGACGGAGACTGAGCGCATCACACAATGGCTGACGGTGGTGGCCGGCATAGTGAACTCCAAGTAACAGTACTTGTCTAAGGATTCAGGAATCTGGTCATATGCAGAGAGGTTCATGTGACAGGTGAAAGTGTGGGTGGTGTATGCTCCCTGGCCCTCTTTGGGCAAGCGAGCCATTCGCCAAACTATGGCTCTATGCTGATGTTCATACTTAGCTTGACCTGAAGTGACCTCCATCAACGCAGATTCCGCGGTTTCTACAGTACCCATGAGCCGTTCTATGCCTTTGACTTTGCCTGTTCTGTAAAATAAATGAAAAAAATATGTACAATTTAATTTATAACAATGTCAGCGTTACATGAAGATAGTCTGAAGTCTGAAGATAGGGTCGGAAGAGTTGAGACCACAAATACTCTACTTCAGTAATATGGAATGGTGTGATTCCTTCAATAAAATTTTAACCATGATAATATTATATATACAAAATATAAAAAAAATAATAGGGGTGGTAGGAGAAGAAGAGATTAAAGTGTTCAGTGAGAATCAACAAGATCTTCTCTGAATACTCTTTATTTTCTTCTTCGAGGCTGTGGGTCACTATAATTGTACCAGAGGTGGTACCCCTATATATATATATATATTTAGCAACATTCACGTTAATGAGAGTTTAGCAACATTCTCACTATTGATGAGAGTTTAGCAAGCCATGACTTAGGAAAGTATTTGTTTAGAAATAGGAGTTGATAACATAATACATTGTCAAGTAAGACAATAGACCCGGGTTCATTGATGCAAGTTACATATATTATATAAGTAGTCGTACTCTGAGATAAATAGAAACTATCTCGCACGGACAAATAGGCTTTCTTGTTGTTTCCTCAGTTCTTATTTTTTGTTCACATTGTGTTCTTCTTAGATAAAGTAATATATTACACCTCAGTTGACATCACAGTGTGTGTGTTCATCTTTAAGTGGAGCGAATTATTAGTATGTTTAGAATAACGATTATACACAATGAAATCTCAATTACGTGATTATATCTATGAGAAAATATTGAAGACGTTGGTCTTAGGAGTTCAGCTATGAGGGTTCGATCCCATCGTACGGCTCATTAATATTTTCTCTTGATACGTATTCTACTGAAGGAAGGGTTCAAGACGTGTTACCTTCTGTGTGCTGACTTGACGGAGCCGTATCTGAAGTGCTTCTCAACGCGGAACAAGTATATCCAGCACTCAGGCAGCGGGAACCTCACCACTACGTCCTCACAAGGAACCTGAAACTCAACACCTCACCATTAGCAGTCAAAAAGTTGCATACATTTAAGTGCATATCTTATAAGTTAATTAAAAATTGGTTAAAACCAAACTGCTATCAAAATTATAAAAAATGGCAATACAATTTAAGGAAATTTGAAAGAAAATTTTAATTACATTATACATTTTTTTGGCTGTATAATGTCTAGTGATATTGTTTATTATAATTACTTTCAACTGTTCATGGAATCCGAATACAGTACAAATAAAACCTGTGAGTAACGGATGGAGTGACCACTACGACCCACCTGCCCAAGCTTCCTGCCTGAGAACCCAGGCACCAGGATCTCACTGAAGATGTCCACGCGCCGGCCCTGGATGGTGACCTTCGTCTTGACCTGCAGAGGAAGCTCTCTGTTCTTCGGGGGACGAACACGGAATCTCATCAGCTCGATGTAGCAGGCGTCAGGAGGTTTGAATCTTGGTAGTATGGATGTGTGTGGTCAGAACACGATCAAGATTAATTTAATCATGTTAATTTAATCATGTAATTAATTTAACTATACAGAGGTGGAGGTGAGTATGTGTATGGGCTGTGAGTGTTTGTAAGGCATCAGTATACCTGGGACCAGTATGTGTATGGGCTGGGTGTAGAATGTATGAGACATTAGTGCGGCTTATCCCAGTAGATGATTGGGCCTTGTAGAGGTTTAGAATATAACAGTGAGCAGAAAATTACACCCTACATGGGCGGTGGGATCACGTGGGGAACCTTGGACCAGTTCCTGTTGGAGTGCCTATTAACCCAAAGTTGGAACTACAGAGAAAACAATATAACTATTAAACATAACTCAGACGGGTAGCTGAATGAGCATGCGTTACTCAGCGATATATCACACATCAATACAACTTTGGGAGCTCACATATCTGTATATATATTATCTAAACAAAAAAATCAAGTTTTAAGGAAGTCTGGTGACATGCATGGGTAAAACATCTGGCTCTCCACACTCACTTGATGTGTTGAGTCTTCTCAAACTCCTCCTTATTGACACAACAGTGGAATTCAACGGCCTCGAGACGAATCCACTCTTCAGTGATGACGGGGATGATGTCGTGGCGGCCCACCACCTCCCGCCCCTGCTTCCTCATGTCGTTGATACCCAGATCCACGTCCGGCATACCTGCACAGTCATGCTGGCTTAGTGCTGTCTCTTGATAATTACCTTACCTTGCATCAGGCTTACCTGCATGTAATGACCTAAGTATTGTCCTGCAGAGGAAGCTCTCTGTTCTTCGGGGGACGAACACGGACTCTATTGTACCAGAATATACATTCTGGGACGAACATTGTCCACTCTGTTGTACCAGAATATATATTCTGTACCAGAATATACATTCTGGTACATGCTGAATGGTACATTATCGATACATGCATTATCTGGTACAACAGAGTAGACAATACTTAGGTCATTACATGCTTTAACTATAAATTTACCAAATGATACTAGTTTCTATGCTTAACCTAAAGTTATGACGCCAGCCCAGATTTGGAGACGGAAAGTGAAGAGTTCTGAGAGCTCCTAAATCATGGTGTAGTTAACATCGCTCAGCAGGACTAAATTACACCAGTGTTTCTTTGTGTGTAAAGCAGTAGTGTGAGAAAGTCTGTAAACAGCAGACAGTTTCTTTGTTAAAACTGTAGGAAGCCTAATGATTTTGATTTTCATATTTAGTCCAGGTGCTTTTTGCTCTATTTGTAGAATATGTTGGAGAAATCTTTTATTTATTGAAAATTTCTCAGTATACTTTACTATAAAGAAAGAGTATTTTAATATATTTAAAGATAATATAAGATAACATTTATAATTAATCTGGCATACATGGCCTTAGCTATAGAGAAGTTTCCTTCAATTATTGTTCCAAGTTTAGCTATCTCTTTCTGGAAGTTTTGCTCCTTCTGTCAACACCACTTTCTCAGTTGCAGTGGCCACATAAATAATCCTTCCCAAACATATAAAAGATCTTAAGACTCAGTGGTTCCAAGCCCAAGGGGGTCACGACCCACCGGTTAGGACTGACCCCCAGATCAGTCAAGTCTTAGCAATCCAAAGAACACTGCCGAGACGGACAATGAACATATTATGTTCAATGTGAGGCAGGGGGTCGCAGGTATTTTGAATATTTGAAAATAAGTCCAAAAAGGACGGGAAAGACCTGGGTTAAGTAGTCCAGAGACTTGCACCTCAAACATATGCCTAAAATGTTCACATGAGTTTGGCTAACATAAAAATGAAACAGCTACAACCTTTTTTTGCACCACGAAGAGAGATGGACGCAAGACGAAAAAGAGAGATAAGAGTTATAGAAAGATAGAAGAAGTTAAAATAGATGAGAAAAGCAGAAGAAAGCATCGGTTCACAATGTAATGAGTAACGAGCTGAGGAGATCCAGGAGACAATACACTTACCTGAGAGGAATCCCAGGAAGAATATTCTGACTCTGGCGATCATCCTGTGGACAACCATCTTGTGGTCCTGCTCCACATAGATCTCGTCCACCGCCGTCAGCTGTACCTCCTCTGACTTGTAGTTGAGGGCCCGGTCCCGCAGCACCGCCAGGGTGAACAGCTGCTCCTCCACCAGCGACGCGAAGACCTGCACAGGAAACAAGATGCATTTAGACTAATCTGTCTTAGTAGCACTTCTGGTGTAATACTACATAGGTGTTACTAAAAGTAATAAGGTTTGAACCTCCTGACGTTGTTAGTTCATCCCACTTTGTTATAGGTTATCATGTATCCTTCAGAATGTTCTTCGACTCCATTATTCTACGCCTCTATATTCGTCATCTTAATATTTACCGCCTCCATATTTTTCCCCCACTGTGTGTGTGTGTGTGTGCGCGTGTGCGTGTGTGGCATTCTGGCATTTCTCGGAGCCGGTCGGCCGAGCGGACAGCACGCTGGACTTATGATCCTGTGGTCCTGGGTTCGATCCCACGCGCCGGCGAGAAACAATGGGCAGAGTTTCTTTCACCCTATGCCCCTGTTATCTAGCAGTAAAATAGGTACCTGGGTGTTAGTCAGCTGTCACGGGCTGCTTCCTGGGGGTGGAGGCCTGGTCGAGGACCGGGCCGCGGGGACATTTAAGCCCCGAAATCATCTTAAGATAACCTCAAGATATGTGCGCGCGTGTGCGTGTGCGTGTGTATATTCTCTTCCTGCTGCGGCAATACGACATGGAGGACTATCGTTAGGAGCCGTACGTACAATGCAGTTGATTCACCTCTAATACTTTTGGACATCTTTAAATGTTTATTAATTTTTCTATTTGTCATGGGTCGAGAGGTGGGACCCAAGAGCCTTGGCTCATCCTCTACAAATACAATTGGATGAGTACACGGAAGGTGACTATATTTATACCAAACAGTTTTTTCTCATACAAATAAACAATTTATGATAAAGGCTCTTTAATTTGAATTAAATTTCAGGATTCTGGCCAGAAGTCAAGCACTGGGTCTATTTCTCATTCAGAAATGTGAAAGCAAGTGTAATATAATTCGCGAAACATAATTATGCTATTGCCAAATTTTATTTATGTTATGGAACTGGATCTCAGTCATAATACGAATGTTTAGAATTTCGCTACAGATTCTGCATCTCTTTCCCAAGCCTATTTCTGGCATCTCTCCAGTACTTTCCGTCTGAGCGATGCCCACGACACACCATACGGGTGCTGAGGCTCCTGTGAGTATGTAGCCACGCGTACAGGCATGCAGCCTAGCTAAAATACGCTTGGGTAGCCTGTTGAGGAGACTGGAGGTAGGCCACTTACAGATACTAGGGTTTATTCCTCTTAATTTATTGTTTTTTGACCTGATTCCATAGAACCTATTTGTATTGTACATATTCTCATATGTACAATATGTCTTTTGTGGTCAATCAGGGGATTGGAACAGAATATAACTCTCAACGTGATGGCTTGTTAGGTTTCCCTATCAGCTTCCTTATTTCCCTGCATACCTGGTTGATACCTGCTTGATGGGGTTCTGGGAGTTGTTCTATTCCCCAAGCCCGGCCCGAGGCCAGGCTTGACTTGTGAGAGTTTGGCCCACCAGGCTGTTGCTTGGAGCGGCCCGCAGGCCATGACCGCATGAAGGGAACATTTTGTATTTGCATGAGGGACGATAGAGCCATTTGTTAACATGTTGTACTGGTCTATGAGAGGGAACGATTTGATACATAGCGGCAACGATACTTTGTGCCTCCGTGTAGGTGGCAGTAGTGTTCCGTTTGCTGTTATCGAGGAGTTGTGGTACGTATCACTGCCATAATTCATACCATAATGATGGAAGATGAGGTTGGCAGCTCTGCACATCTTCATAGGTAACTATACATCCGGTTCGATGTTTTATGTTTGGGCCATATTTGAAAAGTTGGCTTAAAAAAACGCATGGTTTTTATGTCTAATAATATTACAATTACGTTGAAAGATATATTTTTTGACGTTAAAATGGCAATCATTTCGTGACAGACATCACCCAAGAATGCCAATGGTACAAAACGAGAAACGGGTCCAGCGATCATCTGTGCTCCTGTAAGAGAGACAAACAAAACTAACGTAAACTTAAATTGACAAACTAATATTACAAAAATGGGGTGAAGAATAGCAAAAATAACATTAATAAGAGTTATGGTGAGGCTGGAAGACCTTGGTCCCGAGTTTGGTCCCAGAAATACTTACTGGTTTTGATTACACTGGCAGTCCTATGACCCCACGAGAGTGACTGATAACACAGAGTCTTGTGTAGCCTCAATTGTTACTCTCCTCGTAAATCTGATAACCTAATAAATAGCTTTATCAGTGTCCATACTACTGTGTCAGGTAAATGTCGCCCTGACCAGCAGTGTTGTCCAGATATCCTTCATTGCTTTTACCACTCTAAATAACCTCTGAATTTTTAATGTGTTGGCTATTTATATTACCCTGGGCAGGGGGTTCATTAAGCACTTCAGTGTCCACTTACGGAACCTGTACATCTTTCCTCAATCATAGCCCGTAGTTTTAATTTTTTAAGTAGTTTAAGAGTTCGTATGGGCTACGATGTTGTGTCTAACAATGATAACCTTGTGTTGACATTTTCGGAGCTCATAAACTGTTTAATTAATAAAGACTTAAGCTGCAAGGATCGAGGAAAGATGTACATGTTTCGTAAATAGACATTTAAGTGTTTGATGAATCCTGGTGCTGGTTCTCTGAGTCGTCCAAGTGAGCCGTGTTGTGCAGCAGAGGCGTGTTGACCTCACCTTGAGATCTTCGTAGTTTTGAGTGCCTAGCTTGAGGAGCTGGGAGATCTGTGGGGCGTGCTCCACCGGCATGCCCAGCTTACGCACGTCGCTGGCGAACTCCTTCACGTGCTCGTAGTCGCCGGCGATGGCGTGATGGGCGAACTTGGAGATCCTAGTGGTGAGGCGCTCTGCCTTGGATACCTGGCCGGGACGAACACCTGGTCGCTCCTTGTAGAAGATGTACTGGACCTTCACCGTGAAGATCTTTCCGAACTGGTCGAACTGCTGCGCTCCTGTGTGAAGGGGAGGAGTTGGTGTGTGAGCAACATCTCACTAAATATGACACTCCGACACTCAACCTAACGTAAATAAAACTAGGCATAAAGAAATTTACATTTAATGTTAGGAATTTCATCTGAATATTTCACTAATATGAGATGAATGACATGACCCGAACAACAGGTGATGCCAGATTAATGCTTTCACAAATTAATGTTTCTTGCTTGTCTAACCAATTATGAAACTGCGTAAGTTGTGTAATCCTGAGCTTATATTTAGATTCAGTATTTGCGAATTTAAATGCAATGGTAATTCATTATATTTCTGTCATTAATAGATTTCCATTCAGTAATATTATGAAAATAAACAGTCTCTGGACACACAAGAGTACACGAGAGTCATGATCTGGTGACATACTAGAGAGGTGTTGAGGGAGACTGAGTTAGCACTGACCGATGTCGGAGACGGAGTAGCAGGCCTGGAGAGGCAGCTCCTGGAAGGGATCCTTGTCTTCCTTACTGTTGAAGAGCTGCAGACATGGGGCTCCGTCCGTCAGCTTCACGAACACCTTCTTCCAGAACCTGAGGGGTGCGGAGTCCAGTATCTTATTAAAGTCAACGGCTCAGAAAAGGCTTGGGGCCAGATTCACGAAGCAGTTACGCAAGTACTTACGAACGTGTACATCTTTCCTCAATTTTTGAAGGTTCTGGTTATATTTATTAAACAGTTTTCAAGAATGAAACCTTCCCAATCAACTGTTGTTATTGTTACAAACAGCCTCCTGGTGATTCGGAGCTCATTAACTGTTTAATAATAGTAAACAAAGCCGCCAAAGATTGAGAAAAGATGTACAGGTTCGTAAGTGCTTGCGTAACTGTTTCGTGAATCTGGCCCTTGGTTTTTACTATTTTTGTTTTACTTAGCACTTTGCAAATGTGAAATAGCCAAGAAATAAAAGAAGTATTCATTCGTCCTCTCTGACATTTAAGGCTGAAACTGGAAAAATGAGGCTTATCTGGGCGCTTCTGTCGAGTCGAATAAAAGGCAAGAAATTGTTATTATATACAAAGAGGGGAAATGAAGCATTTAGCAGTCATTCACGTCATGTGGTGTTTAGTGCGCCAGAAGTACTGACCACTTGAGCATAATGATGGTGGTGCTGGTGATAACCTCGTGCGACGCCTCTTGTTGCATCGTAACTACTTATTTAGTGACGAAAATGTTGAGAATATCAATTTCCTCGCGGCCATTTTACGTTAGGATAGAGTAAGAAGGTCATGGTCCAGTACCTCTTGTGGATCATAATCCAGAATTAACGTGCCGTCAGGATCAAATAAGGTATTTACTAGGGTCTTAAAGGAATGTAACTAGTGCTTTGTCAAACCTCGTTACGTATATTCAGTAAATCACTATAGTTGTCTACTGTTCTAGAATTGTGAAGGGTTGTAAATACAATCATAATTTCTGAAAGGGAGATATGCATGACTGGCATAAATTATAACCAAAATAGTTTAATTATGAATACATTACTCGAGTGATAACCTCATGCACTGCTCGTATTCATCTGAAAAGAACAGTTTAAATGCTCACAAATACAGATTTTCACTATGACGGCTCTGCTTGACGAACTATCATTCTTGTACAATATATTTGAAATAATTTGGGAGCCGGTCGGCCGAGCGGAGAGCACGCTGGACTTGTGATCCTGTGGTCCTGGGTTCGATCCCAGGCGCCGGCGAGAAACAATGGGCAGAGTTTCTTTCACCCTATGCCCCTGTTACCTAGCAGTAAAATAGGTACCTGGGTGTTAGTCAGCTGTCACGGGCTGCTTCCTGGGGGTGGAGGCCTGGTCGAGGACCAGGCCGCGGGGACACTAAAAAGCCCCGAAATCATGTCAAGATAACCTCAAGATAATAGGAAGTGGTTGAAACTAAAATTGCATAAATATAAACTTCAATAAGGTTGTTAATACTGTACCACGCGATAAATTGCCCAGAAAGTTAAAGGGGAAATATACTAAAAGTACTAGTAAATGTGCCGATGACATAAAGATAGGGTGGGGCATGACGTGATACATATACGCAGGAACGTTAGAAGACAACCAAAACAAACGTTCAATATGGACTGAACATTTGAAGATGCAGCTCAATATTGACAACTGTAGGGCTCAGAAACTTGGGAAGGATAATAGAGGCACCAGATATTAGCTAAACAATATTTAAAATATGAAATCAAATTGTGAAAAGGATTTGCAAGTCGTTGCTAGCAGAATTCTAAACTCAAGGAAAACAATGCATAGATGCTTCAATAAGGTCAACACGGTACTAGGATTCAAATAACGCTTCAAATTCACGAAGCGTTATTGGACCACTATACGTTATAGTGGTCCAATTTACGTCATTACGTAAATTGACGTAAATTGTCAATTTACGTCAATACGTCATTTCTTTCTGAATCCAAAGCTCTTATATTATCATTCAGCTTTATTGTGGCACTGTAAGATCCACTTGAATTATGCAGTTCAGCTTAGAGCATCGCAGTACAGAATAAATGCTCTTGAGTTTTCTGAGAACGATTACTAAATTAATCCCGGCAGAAGGAGCCTCTATGATCAAGAGACACTAAGAATGTTAAATATATCTTCCCTAAAAAATTGTAGAGCAAGAGAAGACACGAGTGATGCGCACAGACGGACGAAAGGACTTAAGATAGGATATTAATAGGATTCTTAAAACTTCAACCCAAATTAGATTAGTGCACCAAACAATGGATTCAAATGAAAAAGTTTCAGTTTAGAGAAGAAACTGAAACCTGATACCTGTTGCTGGTCAGGTACTTAAGTACAACAGGTACTTAAACGAGTACCTGTTGCTGGTCGTGGGAGAGTACCTGTTGTTGGTCATGGGAGAGTACCTGTTGCTGGTCATGGGGAGAGTACCTGTTGCTGGTCATGGGGAGAGTACCTGTTGCTGGTCATGGGGAGAGTACCTGTTGCTGGTCATGGGGAGAGTACCTGTTGCTGGTCATGGGGAGAGTACTTGTTGCTGGTCGTGGTAGAGTACCTGTATGTATGTATGTATATATATATATATATATATATATATATATATATATATATATATATATATATATATATATATATATATATATATATATTACCTGTTGGTGGCGTTGATTTTATAGTGTAAGCTTTTTTATGCTTCTATTTTGTTAGTATCAGAATTAAGAAGAACAATCAAGTTACCAAAATTTATGGTAAAGAAACTAGTAGTTATTGAAAGACTGATTTTCTACATCGTTTCTATCATCCTCTCTGGATCATCTTCTGGTAAAGGATGACTACTTGTTGAGGTACAATTGTTGGTTCAATACACGTGTCATTGTGTACATCTCCCACGTTACCTCACCATCTTAAAAATACTCCAGTGACAGTCCGTTTCCATCTGAACTTGTGTCTCATTCCAGACTCATGAGACTTACATGAGATCTCATCAATTTACCAAGATAAATTCCTCTATCCAGTCCGTTTACTGTTCGGCCAAATAGGTTAGGTTCGGGTTGTGGGCAGTTTAATCAGACTCCGGTTGCGAAGCAGACATTGCCAGTAATGTGGGTAGAAAAAGTGTTTATTAAGGTTTTCATTAGTTCATATTCTTGCAGTCCTTGAACGCGAAATAACAGTGCAAAATACCGCCATAACTAACCAGTCAACTATGTTGCATACGGACTGAATTAATTTCTTTGTGTGGCTCAATTGCAGGAACTGAATTATGCACCCAGTCTTCAGTTCAAAATCCAATTGAAAAAAAATTCTCATGAAAAATTTTGAGGAGGTGGGTTGTGGGGAACCTTTGACAGGCCACTGGCTTCCTGTCCCCGTCGTGACCCACTGGGTAGATCAGTGTTTCCCAGGCAGTGGGGTCACAAAACCTAAATTCTAAGTGCAAGTATATCTGAAAAACCGAGAATTAGCAAATGGTGAGTACCATGATTAGGCAGTTTTTGTTTTTAAAATTATGAAAGTGTGGCGGGGGAGGGGGGGCGGTCTTTTGAGAAGCCCCTTTTGAGTATTATTAGGCCAGTAAAAAAAATGGGAAGCACTGAGATAGATGGTGACCCTCAGGTAAACTCAGGTAAAAACTGTACAAAGAACATACAGTACTGTACTTCATTCCAAAAATATCAATCAAATGCGCTCAGACGAGAAAGCAATTTAAACAAGAACTAATGCCGCTTGCATAGTTCAGACTAAAACATACTAGCATACACTGGTTCCTGTTATACAAGTCATTACTCATTATACTCTATGCTTATGGCAGGATAGTCGTGGTTTGGCCAGTAGCTAACTAGCGGGAATATGTTAGGCATAACCCGCTGAATGCTAACTTTAGTCTTAAATGAGAGAGAGAAAGAGTGAGTTGAAAGAGGTCTTAAATGAGTTGGCGAGGCTATGAGGGATGTGGCCTGAGAACTTCAAGAGGCTACCGCCTAGTTACACAAATGTGACTACGGCTGATTATAGGCTTCGTTACGCAGCAAGAATAATAATTTAGATATTTGTTTCTTACAACGATAACATTTACGTACAATATTTAAATTTAATGAATAAAAAGCTCAAAGAAAGTTTCCTTTGTTTATATGTATAATATTTAATCAGTTTCCCTTGTTTTCCTTGTGAAATTTTATAATATTTAAGCAATCTATTTTTTCGGTCACATTCTCAAGTTAGCGAAGCGACTCTGGATATAAGAGCATAACAAAAATATAATAAATGTCAAGGACAAAAAGAGAGAGAAATAAATGCAAATTTCCGTTGCAAAATGCTGAACAGTTTAATGAAAATGCACAACATTTCAGAAACATTTATCTTCTAATGCAAGTCTAATGAGGATGCGATACTCTACACTAGTTGACTAATGTGAGAGCCGCCGCAGCAGTCACGGAATAAGCAGTGTTGCAGAACTGAGCACAGTGTTGCAGAACTGCGCCCACTGTTGCAGAACTGCGCACAGTGTTGCAGAACTGAGCACAGTGTTGCAGAACTGCGCACAGTGTTGCAGAACTGCGCACACTGTTGCAGAACTGCGCACACTGTTGCAGAACTGCGCACAGTGTTGCAGAACTGCGCCCACTGTTGCAGAACTGAGCACAGTGTTGCAGCACTGAGCACAGTGTTGCAGCACTGAGCACAGTGTTGCAGAACTGCGCACAGTGTTGCAGCACTGAGCACAGTGTTGCAGCACTGAGCACAGTGTTGCAGAACTGCGCACAGTGTTGCAGCACTGCGCCCACTGTTGCAGAACTGCGCACAGTGTTGCAGCACTGAGCACAGTGTTGCAGAACTGCGCACAGTGTTGCAGCACTGAGCACAGTGTTGCAGAACTGAGCACAGTGTTGCAGAACTGCGCACAATGTTGCAGAACCGAGCACAGTGTTGCAGAACTGCGCACAATGTCGCAGCACTGAGCACAGTGTTGCATAATTGAAACAGTTGCAAAACCTGATCACAACGTTGCAGAAATGAGATATGGTGCAAAACTGAGCACACCTCATTTGCAGAACTGAGAGCAGTGTTGCAAACCCGAGCACACATCGTTGCATAACTGAGGACGATGATGAGAGGGGGGGGGGAAGGGAAAGGACTGAAGCCAAAGCCATCAACGCGAGTATCCAGTCATCAATGCCAATCACATGAGCTGGGCGAGTCTTGGACTAAACTACGGAGGTAGATAAGGTGCAGCTATTGGACGTGTTCTCTGACCTGTTCGTCAAACCTCCATGGCCGTCTTTCAAGCGAGAGAGGCTGAAGCCCAGAGGAAGACAAGAGTTAATTTTCCCTCTAAGGTTCGCTGTGTCTCAGACTTATTAATGTTATGGTTAGCCTTTTTGTTTAGTCCATGATTGTTATCTAATATAACAGTAGGCTTTTAAATTCACATTTTGAAAACACTAAATTCAATCATAAGTTTTTTAACGCTATTTTACGATAAAATTAGTTATATATATATATATATATATATATATATATATATATATATATATATATATATATATATATATATATATATATATATATATATATATATATATATATATTTATATATTATTTACAAATAACTTTTATTTATGAGGTAGAAAGTTTGAAAAACAGATTGCCCTATAAACTACATAAATATACAAAAAGAAAATCCAAAGGTAAGCCACGCAGAGAGAGATGATGCACGCTACTTCACCTCTGCCCTGTGATCTTCTTCTTGTTGGGCTGACGGAGATGCATCTCGAAGATGGGGGCGGGAAGCTGGGTCCTTGGGTAAGCCTCGAGGGGCTGCGACTGGTCCTCCTCGAACAGCGGCGTCGGCGGCGTCTCCTGGGAGTCCGTCCTCTCCAGCTCCCCGGGGCGAACTGTTGAGGGATTCCTCCCATGTTAATGTGTTGTGGGAAGGATGTGGGTTTATAATGTAGAGGTGGTGATGTGAGTTACAGTTTACTCTACAATATTTGGAACCACATATAGCGTAATCGAGTGACCTTACAACATACGGTGACTATAAGACATAATCTTACACTATGTGATACTTCATTATATAATTGGCAGATGTACTCTTTGAGTGGTACTAGCAAGTGAAGTTACTGTATTTTAAAGAACTATTATGATAACATTGGCATATGTCTGAACAACAGTTCTTATTGAGACTGAGGTTCATATTTGGGCCTGTGGGCCGCTACAATTAATTTCTCCGGCGTCGCAAGATCGATCTTGTTTATGCAAGATTGAGGGTGAAGGAGTCACTCAATCTTGCTTAATCCGGATTAGCCGTGAAGGGTAAACTCACCGGTAGCATCAATGGCGGCCACACCCACGTCGTCAGGTCCTCGGTCGAAGGGGTTGAATCTGGGTGAGGAGTCTGTGAAGGCGGTGGAGGTGACTGCTGGAGGCGGCGCCAGCACGGGGACGGGCGACAAGCCTCGCGGTGACGCCCCAGAGGCCTCAAGTCCCGCTGGTCTGACAAAAGATAATTTCAGCTTCAGTCTCAAATTGCAGCTCCCGAGGGGAAACCTCCCAGCTTTCACATGCATGAAGAAATTGCTTAAGTGTTGGTTATATTAAGTCTTGTTTATTTTAAGCAATTTGAGCACAATAGTTGAAGTTATTTTGACGGAAGAAATAACACATCATTGCAAAAGTAGAAATATGAGAAAGCTGCAGGCATTGTTGAAGTGTAAACGGCAATGATTAAATGTGTGTAAAAGGATGTAGTTCTTGTAACGGATACTAACTGGAAGATTAGTTTACGGTTTGTTGACGCATGGAAAAGAATACTACCAAAATTATCAATGGTCAAAAGCAAAGTAATATAGGCGAAGAGACAGAATGAAACTCGGTGCATGAAGTAAACAAGAGAGGTCCTAGAAGTGGTCGATCAGTTTACATACCTGGGCTCTGTAACGGATAATATAGGATATTCTGCAGGTACGGTTGAGAGTCGAGTTACTTAGGGAAGAAAAGTAAAGGATCATGGTTACCAAGTCAGAGTTGGGTCTGAGGGCTGTGTCAGGGAGTCGTAGTAACGACTCTTAAGTATGCTTGTAAGAGGCTAGTGACAGAAGAATGACAAAATAAAAATCCTCGAGTTAGAACTGTCGAAATGAACATTTTGAGATGCATTTGTGGCATTAGGTGCAGAGTTAGAAATGGGAATGTCAAGGAAAGATGTGGAGAGCAAAAGGAAGCAACTTGTGAAACTGGTGACGTAACTGAGATGGTTTAGTCATGTTGAAAGAATGGATGATAATAGAAGTGGTTTGGAAGATGTATTCGAGTAAATGTGAAGGTATGAGGAGACGGGGCGGCTTCCACACACCATGAAAGTGTTGTTGTTGTTGTTTAAGAGTCGCTACGTGGAACAAAAAGTTCCAAGTAGCACGGGCTATGGTGAACCCATGAAAGTGGGCAACAAGGTAGCAATGATGATGATTACGATGATGTTTATTAATTTGTGCACGTAAAATATTATATCTTAAGTCCAAGTAATGTAGAAGTATGACGCATGTACTGTTAATAAACTTGAGAGGAATATAAAGTTAACACTAACAACAAATGCATTAAAGCTGACAGCATGCGTATATAGAGTTTAAGAATTTAAGTGTGTGAGGGGATATATATATATATATATATATAGTCATCACTATACTAACTTGATGACTACACTCATTGGTCCCTCATCGGAATCTGCCGAAGACTGGCGGGCGGTGCGACGCGGTGTGGACTGTGGCGGCGGCGGCGGCTCGTTCATGGCCAGGAAGGCGTCGAAGGGAGCGCTGTCGCCAAACCCGAAGCCTTCGCTGGCTGCCCCTCCAGATCCAGTCGTCTCACCCCAGGGTGAAGGTGCTGGTCAGTACCAAGTATATCAGCTCGGTCTTTTACATACAAAATTGTAATTATGTTTAATTAACTCGTTTACATGAACTTAACAGATTCTTGAAGCTTCGACGACTGTTACTTGCATATATTTATGTAAGTAAATTATATTTCCGTAATTAATAATGTTGAACTTTAAATTTTTATCCAGGCTTAAAGTATAATTAATATTTGTAATTAATTACAACATTACGTATCCAAACCATTAAATTATTTTAGTACAAATTCAAATACAAATTTCAATAAACAACAATGTGCCAGTAAATAAATTTATGTTTTGCCCTTTATAAAACTCACCTCGTGCTGCGGATGCAAATGGGTCGACGTGCAGTTCGTCTCCTTCCTCGCCTGTAGCACTGTCGAATCTAGCAGAGAAGGCATCAAATTCCTCGTCTGTTGCGACCTTTACCCCACTTGCAGAGGTAGGCGCTGCCCCAATGGTCAGTGCTGCAGTGGAAGTTGTGGACGGGGGAGCAAATGGATTGACCATTGTGTTACCATCACTCTCTGCGAAGATGTCTAACGAAGGCTCGTCACCTGCTCCAAATAAGCTCATGCCAACGTTTGGTGCGGGAGCTGAGGAGCCGAAGAGAGCAGCCCCTGTAGAGTCTGCACCTGAAGGTACTGGAACTGGAGCTGTTTCACTTCCAAAGAGATCAAAACCTGAGGAACCAGTTGACGAGGTGTTATTGAAGAGTTCTGCTGCAGGTGAAGCTGGAGGCACCGGTTGTGGGATGTCATCAAAGAGACTGCAGGCTGGTGAAGCTGGAGGCGCAGGATGGGACACCTCACCAAAGAGACTAGCTGCTGGAGACGGTGGAGGCACCGGCTCTGAGATGTCTCCGAAGAGGCTAGCAGCTGAAGGGGCGGTTTGTGCAGCACCGAAAAAAGAATCGCTGGTTGGAGTAGAGTTCGAAAATGAACTTGAAGTTTCCCCAAATAGCACAGATCCTGAATCAGGTTTAGAGGGCTCTCCGAATGCGTCTGGAAGTGCAAATGCATCAGTTTCACCAAACGGGGTGGAGTTCCCAAAAACATCCATTACATCACCCTTTGACTCACTCGTGGAAGACGGAACATCTGATACACCAAATGCATTAACTATGGCTGTTGGAGCATCTGATACACCGAATGCATCAACTATGGCTGTTGGAGCATCTGATACACCGAATGCATCAACTATGGCTGTTGGAGCATCTGATACACCGAATGCATCAACTATGGCTGTTGGAGCATCTGATACACCGAATGCATCAACTATGGCTGTCGGAGCATCTGATACACTGAATGCATCAACTATGGCTGTCGGAGCATCTGATACACCAAATGCATCAACTATGGCTGTCGGAGCATCTGATACACCGAATGCATCAACTATGGCTGTTGGAGCATCTGATACACCGAATGCATCAACTACTTCTGTTTTGCTTTGATCTCCGAAACTACCGAGATCTGTCTCTGGTTCAGGTTGAGATGGCTTTACTGGAGTGCTCAGATGGCTAGAGACTTCTGGGGAATTCGGCTGCTCGCTGTTCACTGTTGGAGGAGCAGGCTCAGGAGAACCAAACACCTCCATGGCTTCAAGTTTTTCCTCATTTGCAGAAGAAGAATCATGGGCCTCAGACTCCACTACTATTTTATTGGCTTCATTCACATCCTGAGCAGCAGCTTCAATCACTGTTGGTTCGCTATCCGTCTTCTCACTAATTTGCTCTGGTGACACAGATTCTTCTACTGGTGCCGGTTCGCTTTGGATGTCAGTAGAAAGACATGATTCAGTAGCTGCAGGCGTCTCACTTGAAACAGATTCTTTGTCAGATGGCGTGAGGAGATCTTGGGCTCTGCTTTCTTCTTCATTAGATATAGCATCCATCTGCTTTTTCTCGTCATAGGAAGCACCAGAGAGAAGGTCCGAGGCAGTTTCTTCTGCTGCTATATGTTTGGCGGGAACTGATGATGCCAGCAAATCATCTGATAACAAATCAAAATGTGGTGACTGTTTCTTTTGTGGCTTATTAAACAAACTAAGAATATCCTGATTGGTTATTAGTTTTAGAGGTTGGGCGTCACCAAATAGATCGAATTCATCTGAGGTAGCAGATGCAGGAGACGGAGATGCATTAGCAGCAGCCTTTGTATCGTCCATCTCGTGATCACTCATGTCTATAGTTTGTCCAAATATGGCGCTGAAGGCATCTGAATCCCTTTTCGGGGAGGTCACATGAATGTCTGGTGTAGGGCTGCGGGAATTGGCAGCCCCACTTCCAGGTGATGGGCATGGAGTCCTAGTTTTGTTAAGTTTTTCATGTAATGTGTCTGTTGTTGCCTCCATGGCTCCAATAACAGTTTGTAATAGATCTTTTGTCTCTTTGGATGGAGGTGGTGGCCGTCTGGGTGGCGGTGGTCTTCCTGGAGCTGTGGGAGTATCAACAGGAACGTCACTCATGAGATCTACAATAGGGGAGGATGGTGCCGGCGGTCGGGCTGGAGGCACAGGTGAATGATGTGGCACCTGTGGAACAGCTGGTGGCACTGGTGAGTGGCGTGCCACCTCTGAGACAGCTGGAGGTCTTGGTGGATGGTATGCCACCTGCGATACCGCTGGACGTATTGGGGAAGGCTGTGCCGCCTCTGAGATAGCTGGAGGCATTGTAGGGCTGCCAAAAAAGTCTTCAGAAACTTCATTTACTTGGGAGACAGGTGTTCCAAAAAAGTCTTCCTGGGTCTGTGGCATTGATTCACCAAACTGAGATACATCTGAAGTTACAATGCCAAACGGATTCATATCGGTGGGATAGGACATTGTGTCCCCAAACAAACCGGCTGCAGCGGCATTGGAATCATCAATCTGGTCGCTGAATGGATTGATACCTGTGTAACTTGCTTCAGAATAGTCAAACGCTCCTCCCATAAGGAAGGGGTTGACAGTCGATTCCCCAACATCAGCTGGTGGTGCGGGGTCATCGAAAAGGAAGGGATTCTTCATGTTCTCGCCGAAATCCATTTTGGTGAGCTTGAGATTCAAGGTACGTTAGAAGTATCAAAGGGGTCTTGGGCAGCCGTCAGGAGTTGTGTCTCGAGGTATTTGAGTTCGGCTTTACTCGGAGCAATGTCAGCAGCTATTGATGTATCAAATGGATCGTAATCATGAAAGGTAGATGCAATAGACTGAGCTTGAAGTACCTGAATGGGTTGATCAGATATATTATGGTCGTCACAAGAGTCTAGGAGACTATGTGGTGAGGCTGGCTTTTGAACAGTTTGTGGTGGGTGTTTTGGAGTCTTGTTCTCTTCTTCCCGAGGATCAAATTCGTCGTCACTTAAGTTCTTCTTGGTTCCCGAGTCAGACAAAAGCTCACTCTCTAAAGTTTTTAGCTCAGTCTTACCAAATTTATCTGCTATCGAGGTATCAAATGGGTCAAATTCTACAGGTTCCTCTCCTTTTAGCTCTGTAACAGGTTGGAGAGTTGGTCCTAGGTCAGGAGTGGGTGATGAAGTGAGGTGATCTAGTTTATAATTTGTTACTGACAGAGAGGTGATTTCTTCCTTGGCAGAAGCTGCTTCGTTGTCCTTCGTAAAGAGGGTTTCTTCGAGTGCTTTTATTTCAGTTTTACCAAGCTTATCAGCAATGGAAGTGTCAAAGGGATCTAATTCGTCAGCAGTGGCGCCTTCTTGAGGCCCTTGCTCTGGGTTAAGACAGGGTTGCAGTGGAACTTTGCTCTCAGTGGGTGTGGCTGCTAAGAGACAAGAAGCTGGAAGTGATGGTCTTTCAGGTCCCAAGGAATTTGTTAGAGCTGAGAGGTTCTGAGCTTCTTCCTTTCTTGGATCAAATTCGTCAAAGTCGTCAGGAATTGAGGGTACTTCAGCGGTCAGTAATTCTTTCTCAAGGTGCCTGAGTTCAGTTTTGCCAAAATTATCAGCAATAGAAGTATCAAATGGATCAACTTCCTTATCTGTAATTACTGATTTGAGCTCTGTAGGAGCAAGCAGCTTAACGTCTCTTGGAGTGCTAACTGGAGAAGCAGTTAGCAAACACTTGCTGACAGCTGGTGATGAAGGCCTCGAGGGTCTTGGGGGTTTAGGTGACGTAGCTCTTTCTGCCCGAGGATCAAAACTGTCGTCGGCTTCGACTTTTTGGATAGATTCGGCAACAAGAAATTCGTTCTCGAGAACTTTCAACTCAGTTCTCCCGAATTTATCTGCAATAGATGTGTCGAAAGGGTCAAAGTCGTCGTCCTGGTGATCAGCTGGTTCAACTGTTTGTTCAATTACTGGCTGAAGTGTTGGCTGCTCGTCTAATGGCGTAGTTGCTAAAAGACACTTAGGGGATGGGAGACGAAGGGGTTCAATGGGCAAGCTTAGTACTACCCTATTAGGTTTCACATTAGAAACTGTATTTAGGTCTTGCGGGTTTCCTTGAGCGGATAAAAGTTCATCTTCGAGGGATTTAAGCTCTGTCTTTCCAAAGTTATTGGCAATAGATGTGTCGAAAGGATCAAAGAAGTCGTCTTCCTCAACTTCGTTGTAAGCAGCTGATGGCTGAAGTGTGGGATTAGTGTCTGTTGGTGTAGAAGCAAGAAGGTGGACTTGGGCTGGAACAGGTCGAGGTGAGGGGTTCTTCGTTGACTGAGCTGGATCTTGGGTTCCTGTTTGCTGCACGTACTCTGACCCACTAAGAAATTCTGCTTCTAGGGTTTGTATTTCAACTTTAGCAGCTATAGATGTGTCAAATGGATCAAAATCATCAATTTCTGCACCCTTGGAAGGATCAAGAACAGGGGCAGAGCTGTCTTTGATATCAGTGCCAGTGAGAAGACAAGGCAATTGAGGTCTGGTTGGGGGTGGAGGTCTAATAGGAGCTGTTGCTTCAGGTTCCTCTGCTCTTGGGTCAAAATCGAAGTCGGAGTCACTCTTTTTAAGGGGCTCTGTGGCTTGTGCCTCGCTGCCACTGATTAATTCTGTCTCTAGGACCTTGAGTTCTGTTCTGCCAAAACTGTCAGCAATCGAAGTATCGAATGGGTCAAAACTGTCAGATTTAATGAGCTGACATTCTGACTGTGGTTGTAAAGATTCAGGAAGATCTGTATCTGTTTCTGTAAAAGCAAATGGATCAACAGGTAAGTGTTTATCTGCTATTGATGTATCGAAAGGATCGACCTCTTTAGGTTCTTCCTCCTGGGCTTTAGGGGGTGCTGGTCGTGGAGGCGGTGGCTTGCTAGGCTTGACCTCTGTCTCTTCTCCTAATACCTCTTCAACAAAATCAACATCAAATGGATCTTTTTCAGCAAAGTTATCTTCTGGGCCTAGAACTTGAGCAGCAGCTGATGTGTCAAATGGATCCTCTTCGAACTCTTCTAATTCCTTTTCCTTAGCTTTTGCTACTGACTCGGCAGCTAAAAAGGCAAATTCTGCATCAAAGTCGTCTTCGTTAGCAGCGACTAAATCTTCGTTAGTAACTTCAGATTTGTCTATAATATCAAATTCAGCAACAAGATCCTTAAGATCAAGATCTTTGCCGTTGTCTGGTTTGGTTTCTTTAGAATCTTGATCTTCTCCAGAAGATTCTAGAAATTCACTTAGATCAACTTCTTTGTTTTCACCTTCAATGCCATCGTTAATAATTACACCAGAATTGGTTTTGTCCTGGTCTTGTGTGGCAGGAAGAGGAGGGGACGTGGGTCGTGATGTAGGGTGTACAGCAACACCAGGTTCAGGGAGCTCAACGTCTAGTTCACCAAGGCAAAGTATCTCATCGAGGATATTAGTCTCTTTGGTGTTCTTATTATCCTCTTCACTGATTTCAGCAGTTTTTACATTATCTTCACTGCCATTAACATCAGCAAGCAAATTAATCTCTTTTGCTATCACTTGACGTCGTTTTAGGCTTCCGGAAAGTGTAGGTTTATCGACACTGTGAACATTACCAGTTAAAACCTCAACAGCACTTCCTAAATTCACAAGTTTCTTTTTCTGTTTAGGTTTATTTTCTTTCCTTGCTTTTGGTTCGGGTTTAACGATGTGCAAAACTTTGTCAACCACCGATGTGTCAAAAGGATCAGGCTCGTTTGGATCTTCTAAAGTTGGACTGTCCGGAATGTAATGAAGTTTCACCTCACCACTTTCTACATTGTCGACATAAGTGGTATCGAAGACATCGGTAAACTCATCTACATCGACGTCAGGAAGAACTTCGATGAAGTGGAGCTGACTGGGTTTTGGCTCAGGCTGTGACTCAAGTTGTGGCTCCTCTTGATCTCCCTCTACTTCATTCTCATCATCGATCCCTCCTGCCTCAAGGTCAACCCACTTTTTGCCGGAGCTGGTCGCTGCTGGGGTGACTTCAGTAGTTTCGGTGACGAGTTCTACTGTCTTTTCCTCCTTCTTGTGGAAGAAGCTTGCCTCCTTGATTTGCACGAGATTATCACTAGTCTGCTTGAGAACGGTGTCAGTGGCTGCTAAGAAATTCCTCCAGTCGCCTTCTCCGGCACTTGAGGAAGACTCCTTGGTGTCTGGTGCAGCTGAGGCACCTTCGGCAGACTGTACTGCCTCCTGCTGGAGATGCTCCGGCTCGCTCTTCTGCTGCTCAGCGAGGCGACGGGCTTCCTCCTCTTTTTCTCTTTTATACTTCTCTAATTCTTCTGGGGTAAACAACTCATCATTTTTTCCTTTCTTTCCTTTGATCTTCTTTTTTATTCCTTTTTTTATTTTGTGCATCGTATTCCGTCGATGGAGAGACCCTGGAATAAAATAAGATCAAGATTATTTACTTTATTTGACATGGTCACATCACAAGCTCTGCCCGAGCACCATAACCTTCTTACACAGCTACACTCACTCCTAACCATCATGCAATGGTATCCCACCCGGTACACAGTCTTGCAGTTCCAACACTCATTTCTTGCCGGCGTCGGTCGGGGGGGGGGGGGGGGGGGGGGGGGGGGAAGGGGGAGGTTTTCACTAGAATCAAAACCCTAGTCTGACCAAACAGCAAGGTGACCCCATCCCCACAACGGAAGAAGGATAGACGTATCTCCCATGGCATTCAGGCGTCCCTTCCCTCCCACAGTGCTACAACACTAGGTGTGTCTCGCCAGTGGTATGTAGGTGTCCGTATCTACCTGCACAGGTTTCTGTACACCGTTATCCAACGGTGTACAGAAACTACAGATGCTGACATTTTCAGCATTACAAGCTATGGCAACTTTTGTAATAACGTCTTTGTATGGTCAGCACAGTGCCCGGGCCAGACAATGTGAAGTGGTCACTGCGGTTACTTCTCTTTGACTATAGGCACATCTGGCAAGTTAGTGAGGCTGAGCCACCACCAGAATATTCAGCTTGTAAACTTTGTGACAAACAGCTAAGGTATTCACTTGAATATTCCATTATTGCATGTGAAACTGTAACATATTTTAGACTCCTGGCCTATTGTACAATCAACTATGTAATGATTTCGTTGAATCTGGTGGTACTAGAAGACATCTTAATTTTTTACCCTAAATTTGCTTGTCCATATTAAAGAACAAAGAATGTTTTTTTAGCTGTACCTTATGAATCTATCCCTGCCTTGTGTGGTTGCATTTCGAATTAGTAAATAGAAACATAGAGAATATCTGATGTTGATTGTAACCTCATGAAATATTATATGTGCTTTAATCTACAATTTAGACATTGTCTTGTGTATGATCAGTGACCTGTGTGGCAGTGAACACGAGCCTCATGGTCACTGTAATAACACCTAACTAAATTACTCACATTAGGCAAAATTGTAAATATATTTTGTCAATACAGATGTTAATAATAATAATCTCCCCCTTCAGGTGTGCCCAACCACTTGAGCTAGGCAGTAGAGCGACAGCCTAGCTTCCTGCAGGTCGGCGTTCAATCTCCGACCGTCCAAGTGATTGGGCACCATTCCTTCCCCCCGTCCCACCCCAAATCCTTATCCTGATCCATCCCAGTACTATATAGTCTTAATGGCTTGGCGCTTTCCCCCCTGATAATTCCCTCCCTCCCTCCTGGTTCAACAGGTCGCTGTCAGTCTCAGTTGCAGCCTTCGGGATCATATGTCATAGTCACTTTCTGTGAGGTCGTGGTCACTACGTTTAACAGGTCAGTTATTATTTGAAAGGCTCTTACCAATTAATCATATTCACAAATTTCTCTTTGGCACGATCCCTGCTTCCAGCAGTGTTCTCTGTCTTCCTCAGTTCTACCTGTTGACAATGGCTCTTTGGATTCTGTTGTCTTTACCTTTTCTGTGTTGTAGTCTCTTCTCTTTTCTTTCTCTTTCCCATCTTTATCTCACGGCTTCTTCCCTCATTCTACGAGCTGGGGCCAGGATTCATCAAGCATTTAAGCAACCACTTGAGAAACAAGTTCACCTTTTCCTAAACGAAATTTCATAACTCAAGGTAATTATTGTCATAACCAGCCTTCGCAGTCCTTCGGAGCGCATAAACTGTTTCATAAATGTAAACAGAGCCGCCATGATCAAGGTATAACGTAGAGATTTCGTATGTGGATACGTAAGTGTCCGAGACACGGAGCCTGCAGGCCGGTGGTCGTCAAGAGACCTCACCAGCAAACCTTACCTCGGACATTTTTGTTGCCTTGCCGGGGCAGCGTGTTCCCTGATGACTTAGCAGCTGTGTGCGGAGGATCTTAGTGCTGGAAGGTGGGTTAGATTGGGTTCTCCCCCACCCCCCGAATCATCGATTGGTTCCTGCTGTTTAGTACCCAATCCCCTCCTTCCTCCCTTCCCCCTAACCCACACTCCTTCCCCTATTACACATACGACAAATGGAAATAAATAAATGGGCATACTTTCTTCCACCCTGATGCTCCTATTCACCCTGCAGTATATGGGTACCTGTACCTGGGAGTTAGACAGCTGCTACGGGCTGCTTCTTGAGGATGTGTATGTGTCTGTGTGTGTAATTATCTAGTTGTGCTTGCGAGGGTTGAGCTCTGGCTCTTTGGTCCCGCCTCTCAACTGTCAATCAACTAATGTACAGGTTTGTGTGTGTGTGTGTGTGTGTGTGTGTGTGTGTGTGTGTGTGTGTGTGTGTGTGTGTGTGTGTGTGTGTGTGTGTGTGTGTGTGTGTGTGTGTGTGTGTGTGTGTGTGTGTGTGTGTGTGTGTGTGTGTGTGACCTAGAGAGAAATATATGTAGTACACATAATAAGAGGAAAAATAACTTTTTAAGAAAGGCGTTGTCGAAGAGCTAATAGCTCGATTCTGCAGCTACTAATAGTAAATACACACGTCGTTAGAAAGTAAGAGGGAGAAGGGGGGACATGACACAGACGTATAAGATACAGGGAATGACAGGGTGGAACAAGAGGGGCACGGATAGAAGCTTGAGACTCAGAAGCGTCATAGAGATCTTAGAAGGTTTTCTTTTAGCGTAAGGGTAGCGAATAGATGGAATGACCTAAGGGAACAGGTCGTAGATGCAATCTCAATCCTTACCCTACTAGTTTCCCCTGGAACACGACCCGCCAATCGGTTTACTCCCAGGTCCCCAGTTAATGATGGGTGAAGAGGAGGGAACAATTAAGGACTGGCTCCCAATCACTCCTAACTGGTTAGGGCTCGTACCCAGACCTCATCCGTGGCGAGGCTCTGTGTTACTGCCGAGTGCTGTCTTATTGCCTAGCCAGACGCGTAAGACTCTTGACAATCTAACTAATCTCTCCAGACCGAAGCTCTTGGGCCCGGTGAACCCTTAGTATTACGGTGCATTTTCTCATTAATAATCGTGATTTTGACGCAATAGTCAATAGTGTCTAAAGCAGGGTGCCTTTAGTGTGAGGGCAGGTTGATGGCACCCTAGTGCCATCAACCTCGTCTGGTTGATAGGTCACGCCTCGTCTGGCACCCTAGTGACACTAGGTGTCACTAGGGTGCCAGTTGCAACGCCACTCCCCTGATGTCCTGTTGAACACAGCCGACCCATTCCGCCGCACTTCGTCACCACTACTTTATTCTCCCCTCCTATATATATCCCCCCCCCCTCCATGAGGGTACGAGTGAAGAGAGCGGCAGGTGGGGGAGGGGGTGAGGAGGGGGTGAGGGAGGGGGAGCGTCTGCTGATATTGATTCCTTCACCACTCTCCCTCCACCTCCCCTCCCCTCCCCCCACCCATCCCCCAGCCCGTCCTGCATACAATGTCAGGTGATTTTGTTGGTTGCGGGCGGTGAGGGAGGGAGAGTGAGGGAGAGTGACGAGGGAGGGAGGGAGAGTGCTCTCCTAGCTAGTTTTACAAATAAGGAGGGAGATTCAGCTGTAGAGCTCCGCTTCGGACCTATTTTGCACACGATATATTTATAGCCCAACTTTCCGGTAATGTGAACTACTGGTTGTAGTGCATGGTGCAGTGCATGGTGCAGTGCATGGTGCAGTGCATGGTGCAGAGCATGGTGGTGGCTTCCACCACCTCAGGATCAAAATTACTTCCCGTGTTTACCACTCTCAGATTATCGGGGTTAACTTACATCTCTGAGGCTCATTCGTTGTTTATACCGTCCCAGGCAGGTAGGTAGGGTGTGTGTGTGGGTGTGTGTGTGTGTGTGGGTGTGTGGGTGTGTGGGTGTGTGGGTGTGTGTGTGTGTGTGTGTGTGTGTGTGTGTGTGTGTGTGTGTGTGTGTGTGTGTGTGTGTGTGTGTGTGTGTGTGTGTGTGTGTGTGTGTGTGTAAAATAAATATGGCCATCAATAAATATGGTCTAGCAACAGGAGATATCTTCTCCTGCACCCACCTGTGTAAATAAAAACTTATAAATAAGACTAGCAATTCCTGGCACTGCGAGACATCTTTAGCACAACTGGAGTATGCATGGTTGCATGTTGAGCTGACCTCAGCCCGCCCCCCTACTAGCCACACCTTCACAAGCCTTCCATGGACATTCCTACTGACTTTGCCGCGAACTATAACGGTAACAATCGACTTGAGAATGGTCCAGGACGGACCGAAACGTCGTCGTCCCTTCACCTTCTAGTGTGTGGTCTGGTCAACATACTTCAGCCACGTTATTGTGACTCATGGCCTGTATAACGGTAAATCAAAGTGCTCCACACACACGTTGAAATTCAGAATTAATAATCATCTTTCTAGTCCCTTCTTACATACGAATAATATTCCGTATATTGTATATATATATGGTACAATATACATGTCTTTTTTCCCCGACTGAGCTCTCGGCTTAGCCTTGAGTATTGATTTGTTGATGGGTAGGCCTATTGGTGTATGGTCAACAGTGTGAGAGCCACAGGTAAACTCATCACAACTCTCAGGTATCCCACAGGTAAACATCTGCTCGCTCTTCACACACTATGTTCGTCCGGAATTCAGAAACAATAAAAGTGCTCAGTAAAGATTATTATATATATATATATATATATATATATATATATATATATATATATATATATATATATATATATATGTGTGTGTGTGTGTGTTCCTATGTTTGTGCCAGTGATATTAAAAGAAGGGGGTAGAATACTAGTAGATACTAGTTGAATAGTTATAAAATATACCTGTAGAATATATGAGATTGTTAAGAGGAGAGCCAGATATTGCTCTTAGCTGGGAGTCGTGCCGTGTGTGGGTCGCTGGATCAATGCAATAACCCAGTGGCACCCTCCCACGCCTCCGTGATGCCACCCCCCCCCTTCATCCCCTCGTGGCACTACCCCCCCACCCCCCCCTCCGTGGCACTCTCCTTCCCCCTC